CCCCAAAACCCCAAAACCCCAAAACCCCATAACATTATAGAAGTTAAATTCTAAACTTGAAAAATAATTTAAATTTATAATTTATTAAGAAATGGATACTGTTGAAAAAGAATGGAAACCTCAACAGACAGAGGATGATGAACCAAGAATCGGAAGTGAGAGAGACAATATGCATGGAGATGGAGAAAACAATAACGAAGGTGATTAATTTGGACAAGAGACTATGATTAAGGAGTAAAAATTCTAAGAATATGATCATGATTTGGCAGAGGATATGAGTCCTGATCGTAACGGTGGGGATGATGATGGAGAAGGAGGAGACGGTGCAAATAATAACAATAGATAAGAGGATGAAGATCCAATCTAAGAAAAGATCGCTAAAATCATTCAAATTTGCAAAGAAAATGATGCCCTTTTTGGTGATTCAGAGTTTCCAGCTACAGATCAATCACTTTACAAGGATCCCACAAACATTCCAGACTATGATCAAAACATGCCATTAGTAGAATGGAGACGTCCTCAAGAGATTGCTCCTGATGAACCATTGATGATTAAAGATGGAACATCTCCAGGGGATGTAAAGCAAGGAAATCTTGGAGACTGTTGGTTATTAGGATCTTTCTTGATCTTATCTACTCATCCAGATCTCTTGCACAATTTAATTGTTCACGATGGTATCGAGTTTGGATTCGCTGTTTTCTAATTCTTCAAAAATGGAAAATGGCAATATGTGATTGTTGATACAAGAATTCCATACAATCAATCATCTAAGACCCCTCTTTATGGTCATTGCGCTGATCCAAATGAATTCTGGGTGCCACTACTTGAAAAGGCCTATGCTAAGTTACACGGAAACTATGAAGCAATGAATGGAGGTAGTATGGCTGAAGCTCTAGTAGATCTTACAGGAGGTGCCTCAGATAAATACAACTTGAGAGCTCCAGAGACTAAAGAAAATATTGAGAGCGGATAATTCTGGAAGGATCTTAAGAAATAATTCCAAGCTGGTTACTTAATAGGTTGTGCAAACTCAATCAAAGATGATGGTGGCAAATAAGAAGATGGAATGGGACCTACTGGTATTCTGTTTAATCATGCATATGGTATCTTAGATGTTAGAGATATTGATGGGCTATAGCTTATTAGAATCAGAAATCCTTGGGGTCATGGAGAGTGGACTGGTAAATTCGCTGATGAAGATGAAGCTTGGGATGATCATAAAGGACTTAAGGATAAACTCCAATATGTTTTCAAGGATGATGGTACATGGTGGATGAGATATGAGGATTGGTGTGCTCACTATAACAAAATGTATATCTGCAAAATATTCCCAGTAGGATGGTCACAATTCTCAATCACTGGAGAATGGAAAGGAAACTCAGCTGGTGGTGCTTATCCACCAATGGTTGACAGAGATGAGGAAAACAAAGCTGGTCATGAGAAATAAGACACTAATGATAGATGGTTTAACAATCCTCAATATAGATTTACTGTTTTGAAGAAAACACAAGTAATAATTTCACTCATGTAAGAAGATGAAAAAATCTCAAAGAGACCATACATACCTGTGAATTTCTTAGTTGTTAGGGTGAAGAGCAAGAGAGAAAGACTATGGGAAATCGATAAGGACGATGTTGTTTTAGAAGCTGCTGATGGATTGCAAAGATTTGCTCAAAGAGAAATTACTAAGACTACTACTCTTTTGCCAGTTCATGACAAGAAAAATGTTCATTATGTGATAGTTCCTAATACCGAGGATGGAGTCAATAAAAAGGAGGAAGAGAGACCATTCTTTTTGAGAATATTTGCATCTGAACATGTTGAAGTTGCCTAATTACCTCCAACAATTGAATAATAATTCTAAGGAAAGTGGACTAATACCACAGCTGGAGGTAAAAGAGTTACTGAGAGTGGAAAAGAGAATCAGTTCTGGTGCAGAAATCCTCAATATTTCTTAAACATTACCAAGCCTACTCATTTGAAACTTATTTTGAAGAAAAAGGGAGGTAGAAGAGTTAGGGGAGTGCCTATTGGTATCAATGTGGTGAAAGCCTTTCCACCAACTAACCCACCAGCTGCTAAAATCATTAAGCCTGGCAAGGACTAAGGCAATAATAGAATGGCTTCATCAATTGGTAAAACTTCCACTTATGCCGAAACATTGAAAAATAACAACAGCAAGGAGAAGGGCGAAAACATACCACAATTTGAACCACCTAAACTTGAAAACCTTGAAAGAAAATTGCAATTATTGCCAGGAGAATGGTACGAAGAGTCTTACTATAGATCAGATGATGTTGCAGCACTATACTCGTACTATCAACCAACCTAAGGTCCATTTATTATTATTCCAAGTATGTCAAAAGAAGAAGTTACTGCTGATTTCACTTTGACAAGTAAGATTAATTATCATTTATTCATTTTATTCTAGTCTTCAGTAGTCAGCCTGTCGAGGTTCAAAAACTTGAAGATTCAAGAAACGCTGTTTTATCTGGAAAATGGTCCGATAAAACCTCTGGTGGTTGCCATTTATATGACAAGGAATTTGAGTAGAAAGCTGACAAATTTACATGGACTAATAATCCTAAATTCCATATGAGATTCCAAACAGCTGAGCCAACCCAGGTCAAGATTACTCTAAGCAGACCAGAGAAAGCATGGAAGAAGCAAATAGGTATGAACCTTGTCGGATGTATGATAGGTTTCTACGTATATCCTGGAAACTAGTAGCCAACTAAGGAATGCCTAATCAACAAAGCTACTTAGGTAAGAATTTATTAGATATATCAAATTTTGAATAGAAATTCGTCCCATGGAATGAGGTATCTGATGAACTCACATTAGATGGAAATCCAGATGGTTACATTGTAATGCCAACATGCTATGAGCCAGGCAAAATGGGTCCTTTTATTATCTCTGTCTCTACAGATGTTGAATTTACACTAACATAGCTTGATTGATATATAACATTTCTAATTTAATCTACAATTTTTTTAGCCATGGGGTTTTGGGGTTTTGGGGTTTTGGGGTTTTGGGG